GAGTTAAACTCACATGGAAAAGCAAATCTTGCTGCCTTATCTATTGCTAATGCTCTTCGAGAGTAACGCAAAGCTTTGTACATAAGGTGTGCGCAATTTTTGTTCATGTGTGGATAGTATTTTGCTGGGCCCTCTTCATACTCAGAATCATAATCGGTTGGAACTGAAATTTAATCTCTTCGTTTTTAGGCTGATTTAAAAAATGCCAAATTCACATACTGATAATGTGCTTGCTACCATTGTTGTAGCCGCTCTGCAGCTTCTCAGCCATATGATTGTATTTGTTAGCCTTACGCATGTAACTGTTAACCATTGCAAATTCCAATAGTACACCGAAGATGAACAGCATACATACTGAAAATAACAAGAACATTTCGCTTGTAGACACAACACAACGCATGCGTTCAAACATCAATGTGAAGAAGTTTGGGAAAAAGTTGGTAAATTCAAAGCATTAACGAATGTTCTATTTATAGCGAAATTGTCAGGATTCTGATGTGATAGACTGAGATCAAAGTAAGTAATTTATGCATTTAGTCATAAGTAATTTATGCATTTGTAAGAATATGAAATCCCACCCTCTTATCTTCTATTTCTCCTCTATTTTTGCAATGAAATCTTTTTCACTTTGCTTACTATCATTCTAAGTGAATTCTTGTAAATTGTTGTGAATCTGCATGGAAAATTTACCAACTGTGGTGCTATCAGAGTTTTACAAAAACTGCAACCTTGAGTAGAATGTTTTAATTTCACGGTATGTATCTTACTACAGTATATCAGTATGAGCGAACCACAGTTGTACCTAGTTTTGATTTAAGAGCAGTGCTCGTAAATTTTCAGCTTCCTTTACCTTTCATTGAACCACTATAGTGTGCTGAACACGAATTTCAGCTCCAATCATCATGAAAATGTTTTAAAAAAACAAAGATTGTGGGTTTTTAAACCAATAATGAACTATAACGGTACTCTTCCAAAAAACAATCTTATGCTTCTTTAGCTAGAGAGCATTACTACCGAGAAAAACCAAATAGCCAATGCTGGGGGGCGAATAAACGAGGAAAGCAAACGTATACTTTGAAATACAAATTTCCCATTTTTTGATTCATTTTAAAATTCTCTACTGCTGCGTACATATTCCATTGCGTCTATCTTTTGCCGCTCAGCAGAGTGATTTTTTGAAGAGCTACTCAGAGACTGAAAAAATTGAGTTTAAAATGCGCGCCACAATAGAGCGCGTTTTTGTCGAATGGAGCGGGTTATAAACTTGAAGCATACTGTTTGCAGTACTGAACTGGATCTTCTCGGAAGAACTTCTCGGATTCGCGCTTTTAACTGTTGTTCTCTCCTTAGAGACGGTGATTAGTAGCCGCTCTACTTTACAGAAGTTTGAAAACAGTTAATGAATAAAACTCTCACCTCCATAAAAGTAATCTATAGCCTTGGCATAAGAGACTGCTGGTAGAGCATATCTTATACCATTACCCTAAAAAGAAAGTCTAGATATCCCAACATAGCTCGTTTCTGTAAATTTATACCTGTGTGCTTAGTGTTAGCAAAGTGGTAAAAGATAGCGATACCCGTGCCGGGACGGCTCGTCGGTCGATCCAGAATGAAACCCATGAGATTGCTACGATTAACCCTGTTGGGATATAGCTCTACAAGAGC